ACTGTCTGCACTGAACATGTTCCCAGTTCAGACACCCGGAGGACACTGACAGCAACATTCGCTTACGATACTGCATTTCTGGCATCAAGCAGCAGCTTGAAAAAGTTCAAGTAGTGGGCCTCGCGATGAAAAATCGACCTTAATGTCGAGAAGACCCAGCACGCCACTTTTGCGCTGGGTCATTTGCGCCGGCCCATATAGACGGAAGCAAGATCAGGCACTTTGACAGCTTAAGCCACCTTAGTGGCTTAAGTGACCCTGACAGGCGACTTATGTGTAACGACCACGTCGCGCTCTTCAAGGCCACAATGATCCCAACGCAAATTTGGACAGATTACACAAGATTTGGCTACTTTATGCACTGAATGTTACTCGTTCCCTTGAACACGCAGCTGGTTTCATATATCGTGCCTTAGCATATGGATTTAATGTGATCAGAGCTGGCCTGTTCTTAAAATTGATAAGTAAAGGTCAGATTGAGCTTGTCAATAAGTTTCCCTGAAAAAAAACTTATTTCCGCTGGCTAGTCAGTGTCCGCACGTGCGAACGAGTCTTCATATGCTTAGCTGGGAGTTTGGATGGAACCGGTCTATGGTTTGTTTACATTGACATTTTTTAGCGCCTGTAAATGTTTTTATCGATACCCGTCGATTTTGTCTGATATTAATACTAATTTGATCTATTCTTAACAAGAGTTTGAGGAGCAAAGTCATCGTTTTAATGGGGAAGACGGCTTGTTTGGCACTTTATACTCATACATTTCCGTTCAGCCTATTTTTGTGGCTAATTGGAGGCTGCTAATGGATGATCCATTGGTGATTGGTGACACCCTTCTCAACGTCGACTATTTTTACACGTCGGTGTTCCAAATTCAGGCTGTAATAAATGTTCGACCTATTGTCTCCCTCGGCACTTCTGTAGCCAAACATTCTTTCACCTACATACGAGGAGTACTTGACGCTCTTGCAAAAGCGTTCCAAGTGGCATGTTCGACAGCCACACATACAAGTCAAAGACATCGACTGTGTCAACGACGAGATTCTAGCGCCTTTGAAGTACCCACTTGCTTTAGTCACCGAAGTTAGGACGTCAACCAGATTGTATTTTCCCCGGAGCAAATGGCCCATTCACCATGGTCAACTGCTATGTGTCCTTACAGAAACTCGAAGCCATTTAACGGGCAGGAGGATGTTCAGCAGCAGCTAAAACTGTGAATTATTGCCTTGTACTAACAGAAAATTTGTCTTAAATTTAGTTGGTTTTTACTTTTCACCTTTCGCCGCGACAATATCTGCGCATTTAAGTGATTGTTTTAACCACAAATTAGTTTCGCTGCAACTGGCACGTACCATGTCGTGTTTGCCTGTTTTGCATATAATTTAAATACATACTGCTAAATAAAATCGCAAATATATTGATTTGCAAACATTTTATAGAAATCAAAATTCGTCTTATTGCTTGACAGCTAATGAAAAAGCTCATAATCAATTAATACATTTTAAGTATTTAAAGCTTTTTGCATCTTAAGCACATAAGTATGTCTATGTGCTTATGACAATAATAGCTTTATGAAACTTAACGTTAAGTACTTGGAGAATTAAAAAATGACCATCTTAAAAACATAAAAATTACCAAAAAAAAAAAAAAATAATAATAATTTCAAAATAAAATTATGTTAGAGCATAGCCTTGTGCAATTTATTGTACTTTTATTCATAAACAGTGTATGCTGGACAGAAGTTCTCGTTTCAGAAAAACGACGTGCTTTAGTATATTAAAAACTGTACATACATATGTGCAGCGGCTTTTGCTGCTGAAGAAATTAATTTCGTTGGCAACAAAAGCCACTGCAGTGAATAACAATATGGCTTGATGTATGTTTATTCGCACGGCCCTCAGAAATTCGTGTATTCAAAACAATGCTAGGCGTAAGCATAAGCGCAAATCAGACCCACGATCAAATGGTATATGATCGGCCACTTGACGATTGCTCTAATTCTGGCTCTCCTGACTTTAAATACAACGCTCGCAGTTCTCTGTCTCCATATAAATCTCATATAGTTTCTGATTAAACAGACTGTTCTTTGATGTGTTTCTGAATTTTATTTATTTATTATATTGGATTAAATGCTTCGTCGTTATTCATCATTTATGTCAAATCGTATGGATAGAATCCAAGAGTGGATAAAGAACGTTCACGTCATGTAGCTTCAAAGTAAAACCGGCATCGTTGCAAAAGGCTGCAATGTTAATGCTTTGCTTTTGGCTTTAGTTCGATGGGCTTTTATTTTTGAAGGAACCAAGAAAATCCTGGCCGGTTAACCAGCATTTGATGACAGATATACCACCTTGATCAAAATGTACCCGGAATAACCACCGTGGGGCACTCCCATCGTTCCGATTTAAGTTGTTTTTTTTTTTTAAGTTGGTACATCTGTTGTTGATATTCCCTCTAAATCTTAGCATCATAACTTGACATTTGCAAAATTTACGTAGCCAAGAGTATCTCTGTGTGTGTTGGCGATTTTTCACAGTTTTAGAGTTTTTTTAGAAATGGATTTAAATTTGCAACAACAAACTTGTATTACATTTTGCGTAAAACACGGATTTAATAGTGCGCGAACGTTGGAAATGTTGGCAAAGTGTTTCGGCAAAATTTCTCTAAAGACAAAAGTGGTCGTGAGTCAATCGAAGATGGGGAACGCAGTGGCAGACCAGCGACATCGAAAACCGACGAAAACATTGATAAAGTAAAAGAAATGTTGGTCAATAGTTGGCATTTTGACCATCAGAGAGATAGCGGAGGACTTGAACATTGCCTATGGATCCGCCCAAGACATTTTGGTTATTGATTTGGGTTTCCGTCCGGTAGTCCAAAGTTGGTGCCAAAAGACCTCAATCTCATGCAAAAAAGAGCCTGTGATGACGACGCAAAAGACATGATTTGCGAGGCTGAATCTGATCCCACATTCATCAAAAGGATCATTACTGGAGACGATACGTGAGCCGACCAAAAAAACCACGTCGTTTTCAGTAAAAAAAAAAGAAGGCAATGTTCACGGTTTTCATGGATTTCAACGGTGTAGTGCACATGCATTTTTGTCAGAAGGCTAGACAGTAAAGAAAGAGTATTATTTGGGCGTTATGACACGTTTGCGTGAAGCAATTCGCCGAAAGAGACCAGAATTGTGGGCATTTAACTCGTAGATTTTGCATCATGATAACGCACCGTCGCACACATTATTCGTAATTTTTTGACCATCCAACAGCCACCGAATCTACTTTATTTGGCTTCCTGTGACTTCTTTTTGTTCAATCGAGTTAAACAACCATTACGGGGAACGCGTTTCAGCAGCCGAGAGGAAGGAATGGAAAAATCGCAGAAAGCACTGATGGACATACCGAATATAAAAAATGTTTCGAGGATTCGATCAAACGCTGTCATAAGTGTGTTGCAGTTGAGAATTACTTTGAAGGGGACAATATAGATTTTATGAATAAACTTGTATTTTTAATTTTCTGAATAAATTCTGAGAACTTTTTGATCAAGGTGGTACGCATCTTGGAAGCACTTAGAACAGCTGTTGAAATAGGAGCTATGGTAAAGAAAACAGATCTTTTAGAACCTGTCGATAATTATTCGTCGTATGCGAGTGGGATCCGGGCAACGCTAATCTGTATGCAGACTTTTCTTAAGCTATTAAACCACCAACTTCTTCCTCTATATACTTTAAATCAGCCTCTTCAACGTCAGTTACAAATGTCAAAATGCATTTTAAATCAGATTATAGCTGAAAGTTGGCTACTTAGCGACCTTAATGTACTGCGCAGGTCCCGATAGTGCACGTTGCTTGTGTGCTTAGGCACTCTACTGTAGCACTCTGTTAACCTGTCTTAAAACTTTTTTGTGGTCTGGAAAGAATCTTTTAATGTTCCATAAGTAAATTCCGGCAGTAAATCTAATATTGAAAACTATAGAGGTATTTTCAACTTGTTCGGTATTCCTCTAGCAACATTTATGCAGCTCTTATTATTTCCCTTGCAACTGATGATAAGGAAAAGAATGTAGGCTTGTGATTTTAACTGATTTTAGCAAGGCTTTCGATTTAGTTAATCACATGTTGTTACTTCACAAATTATGTCTTCTCTGCTTTCCACTGGATATTAAAGTAACGGATTAACAGAACACTAAAAGTTTGCACGGATCTATCCACGTTGAGTACTTGTAAGATACCGATTTTATTCTTACGAATCCTAGGTTTTATAAACTAACAGCGATTCTTTTTTTAGGTCTGCTGTCGATGCATCATCGGCAGCACCGGTCATAAACTATTGTGTTTAATTAGGGTATTTTGTTTACCCTCGCTACTTATATTTCTCCCATGACATTTCTTAGCGTAGGTCACTTTACAATCCTAAGCGACCACATATGCGTTATCTACTATTATTCTGGTGGCTGCAGTTATACAATATGGTGTGAGATATATTTTTACCGAGGGTCTAAGTGAGACTCGGTGTCAAGTGTTCATGTGTGAACAAAGTTATTTTTAGGAACTCAAATTATAAATGTATTCAGTCATCTCGGACTGCTACTCTCTACTTCTAAATGACCTTCCTTCAAGATTGTCTTGCCCTCGAATACAATTGTTTGCCGATGATGTAAAGCTGTGCCTTGCATATAAGACTATCTGTTACAAGCCAAAATTATTGCCTTAATTATTTTTTGTCAAGCATAATAACGACGCTGCACGCAGGAAAGGACAGCGTCGTATGAATCGCCCGGATTGGCGAGATAAGGACGACCAGTAATGAATATTTTAAGAGGCCTATCCATAAGTTAGCGCTCAGAGAGCGGATTCGCCACCTAAATTTAATCTCGCCCTTAGAGTTGGGGTTTCATTAAAACGTAAACAATTTATTTTTTTAATTCTCCTCAATTTTTATGGATTGTAATAAGATTCGCAACTAATAAATTTTTTGTTCTTATTATCTTTAATGCAGGCCGAAGCGCGTTTGGCAGCTCGTCGTCTAGCTCGCGCTGAAGCTCGGGAGATACGCATGCGTGAGCTTGAGCGACAACAAAAAGAATTGGAACAAAGCGCTGACCGTGCATTCGATATGCAAAGCTCAAGTGGCAGTGCTATTATCGACACACTCTCATCAAATCCCACACGCCATGTCTATAGTGGTCTTGTAAATTTGGTACGTGCAACAGCATCGCGACGCAGTAGTGAAGATTCATTGGAGGACGAAGGTCGCAGTTTCCGTGATATTAAACACGAGCTTAAAGTAGGTATCTTTAAATATATTTAAAAAGATAGGTAATTACAAAGATAACGTTAGGTAAGAACATTTCTCTGTTCCCACTGTAAAAACAAGTAAAAGCAAGGGTCGATTGAAAGCGTTTCATCAATATTTTGTATACCCTTGTAGAGAGTATTATTATCATGAAAATAACGTATAGAAGATATCCCATAAAAAATATATATATGTATATTCTAGATCAGTATCAACAGCCGAGCTGATATAGCCATGTCTGTCTGTCTGTTTCTATGCGAACTAGTCTCTCAGCTTTGAAACTTTGCATAGGTCCGTCTTTCTGTTGCAGGCAGTACACAACCGGCCGGATCGGACCACTATATCATATAGCTGCCATGGGAAGATCGAACCAAAAGTAGGTTCTTGTATGAAAAACTTTTTTCTTTATAAAGATATCTTACCCAAATTCGGTATTAATAATATAAAAAGTCTTATCAATATCGAAAAACTTTATCATATTGCTGCCGTAGGAACGATCGGTGGAAAAGTTGGATCTGATATGGAAACCCTGTTATTATATTAAGAGACTCGGGACTTATAGTTTCATATATATATATATATACATTGAATATATTTTAAAGATATATATTCAAAATCTTATCAACTTCAGACCTTTTATCATAAAACTGCTATGGATAAGATCGGTGGAATTGTAGGATTTTGTATGGCAAAATATTTTCAAAGATATTTTCAACAAACTCAGCATTTTCGAGGTGCACAGTTTATACATACATGCAAAGCCGTAAGCGTCCCGAAGATGGCCGTACTTTTTTTATTTTTACCCCGAACCCATTAAAAATGGGTAAACAGGGTATATTGTATTTGTGCAAATGTATGTAACAGGCAGAAGGAAGCATATCTGACCCCATAAAGTATATATATTCTTGATGAGCATCAAAATCCGAGACGATCTAGCCATGTCCGTCTGTCTGTCCGTCCGTCCGTCCGTCCGTCCGTATGTATGAACGCAAGGATATCAGAACCTATAGAGAGAGCTAGAAAGAGCTAGAACTGAAATTTTAGCTGTAGGTCCTCCTAATGCCCGATGATCGAGTTTGTTTCCGATAATCGATAACTTGTCCCGTTTCCAAGTAATCGATAAAAATCGATATCGAAATCCTGTTTTTTGAGCAATTTCGGCAAATAATATGAGCTAGAGTCACCAAACTTGACATGTAGCTTCTAGAATAGTATATATATATCAAGAATCTTTCATTTAATACCTATCGCCACCTCCTCGCTACCACTGCAAAGCTATAATTCAAGTTAATAATCCAACTTGTATTGCCCAGCAATTTTAGCCACAATTTTTATGCAATTGCATTTTTGAGAATACACAAATATTCTTTATTCTATTCTACAATAAGATATACTGTCGAAAATTTCATTAAGATCGGCTAAGAAACACAAAAGTAATGTGCGCACGTGTTAGCAGCATAGCTGCTGCGCAAATTCCAAGAATTTCTGTATACATGTACACACACACACATTCATGCGTGTTTGCTTTGAATTCTATCAACAGCATTGCAATTGCGATTGTATTGTTTTCTGTGCTGCTATTTTATTTGGTTTTTTTCTCATTAAAGCTCAATTATTGGTGTGGCCCTTGAGTAGATGCAGCGGTAAGAGGTGCGGTTAGTTGCGAGTTCGAACCCTACCAAGGCAACAATTTTTTTTTTTAATCTTTCTTTATTACTACTAAAGCAGACGAGCGCGTAGCGCGAGCTGCATTTGGTGTTGGAAGAAGAGGGTTCAGGGTATCCCCTAGTTTGGAGCTCCCGACCAGAACCTCTTACTTGTTATATATGGAGTCACGAAGCGTACTCCCTGTTGTGCATAATTTTAATTAAAGTTAAAGGTCATTAATTTTTTTAAATTTGCTTCTACTGTTTCATTCTCTGGTAACTTTTCTTTTTGTGTAAATATCAACACTTTTAATACGAACTTACTTAACACGCATTTGCCGCAGCCAATGCGCAACATTCCGTCACTATCGATTCAGGGGTAAGGCTTAATATTTGGAGGGTATTTAATATAGGCTGACCACTTTGCAGATACTTAAATTCGTTGCTAAAACATGTTCGATAAACAAATTGACATAGGAATAAGTCAACACTGCGGATCTTGTTGGCAGTAAATGAATAGAATAATACACAGTGAAACTGCGGTCCCAGAAAACTATTTGAAAAAGTTTTTATAACTGGAATATATTAATTACTGGAGTTTTTCATTAGCTTGTTCATAGTTTCACAGATCTCATTCATACCAACAATTTTGAAGGTATTCCCATTTTTTTTTTGCTCTATAAATCTTGAATTATTTTATTGTTGTTTGTTTCAAAATGTTTGTGTTCGTTTATCTACAACGGATAATATTGGCTATTTTGACTTAATTCATCACCTTACGTTCGTATGATCCAGAGCATAATCGGAAAGACATTATAATTTTTAATTGGCAGATTTTAATAAGAACTTTTACAAAATTAATATAAGTTCAGACTTTACTGCTCGTACATGTCATACACAGTTTTGTAGATTCGGCTGATGATTCCAAATTAATTTATCGCCAAAACAGGATGTTTACTTCTCTAAGACTTAATGCTCCAATAAAGTGTTTAAGTTTCGTGCAACGTCCGTGTTGCTGCCCATGAATTTATCATTATTATTCTATTTTTGCAGTAAGCGGCTTGACACTTGGAACATATACTTGTGTATATGATGTTAAAAAGAAAGTGTTTGGATTATATAGATACGCCTACTAGAATTGGGAAAATTCGTATCTTTCCTAGTTTTAAAACTAGAAGGACCAAATTCAAAATGCAAACTCTCAAAAGCCCCTCGAAAGATTGTTCCAAAATCTTTTACCCACGCCCACTGCAGTAGATCGAAAATATCGATATATCTTAACAAATTATGTTGGTAGTCTGTTTCAAGCTACTATTGCGCGTGGACGAGTATACTACCTACGAAAGCTAGATGCATAACATTTTAAATATATCTATTTCGTCACATCATACGCAAGGCATTCATATATTGTCATGTCAACATCTCGTCACATATCCAGAATATTGATAAAAGTAGATAGTTCTTGTATCTCTTATACAAAATTTGGTATGTAGGCTCTTGTATAGTATAAGGATTATAAATATATAATTTTCTTCCCATAAATTGAAAAAACTAATTGTTAAAGCAAGACCCTTGTGATTTAGTATATACACACATTTAAATGCCATATTTATGCCCTTATATTTGCATTAAGATCGGAGCATAGAAGTTAAATAATATTAGATTTCCAATAGTGTCAAGCCGCCGCATAAGTTTGTGTGTTGTGCATAAATAAATCTTTAAGTACATGCATACTTATTTTGAAATTCCTATTAAGCTACATATTATCAGATGAAGAATAAGAAGCGTGAATTTAAAAACTAAAATATACTCACTGAGGGGTAGAGAGCGAAAGTGAATTAATGTGCTGACAACATTTCTTTCCATTCTTTTGAATTAACTGCTGTTTTGATACGAAATGTACGCATTGTGTATCTTTTGTCATTATTTTTCTGTGCTCATGAAGCACATTTTCTTTTTAAATTCTCATTTATTTTTTTATTAATATATATTGTATTGAATCAAAAATTGCATACATTTTTATTACAACACAGCTGGCTTAGGTGATATTTCGCCAAGCCTGGTTGGGTCCTCAGGCTTTATTGTGAACAAACGTCAACGCGGCATTTTTAAATAAGGCTTCATCGTCACGTAGGTAGTCGGGGGACTCTGGGGCATCTCCTATGTCGTGGTTGGAGGAGGTCCTTGAACGATCTTCTCTAGAGCCTCCTGACTACACACCTCCCAGCGAGGTCTCTTGCTACCCGGTTGTAGTGTCGCTGCAAGCGTTCGTTGTACCGGAGGGCAAATGCTCCCACTTGGCTGTCTATGGTCGCCATTTTGAGGTCTCTGTGCAAGGTAGAATTTCTGACGTACCAGTCAGCACCGGTCATTCGGCGCAAGGCCAAGTTTTGATGTGTCTGTATCCGTCTTCGATTTGTACGAGATGCAATGCCGCAGCCCGTCGATGTGTGTCCGAATGCTTAGCCTCTTATCCAGTACAATTCCAAGATACTTAGCGCTTATGCCAGGGTGAAGGGGGCTGCCATCTATCCAGACTGCTGGAGCCTTGCCACGCCTCAATGTGTAGTTGACCACCTGGCACTTCGAGGCATTGAGCTTGATGTTCCACCTGTGTGCCCAGCTCTCAAGAAAGTGGATATATTCCTGGGCTTCGTACTCGCAGTGGGCCTAGTAAAATATTGCCACGTCATCGGCAAATGTGGACATCGGGTGTTTGCCTGGGGTGGCAAACTCGTGTAAGTCATCCGGAGTGGGGATGTCTGTCATGTACAAATTGTAGAGAAAGGGGCCCAGTACGCTGCCTTGAGGGTCACCCGCTTCTATCTTGCGAACAGGAGAGATTGCTGCCCTAACTTTGACTTCGAAGTTTCTTTCCATTAGATAAGAGCGCAGAAGTAGAAAGAAGAGAGCGGGAAGACTCATCTTGATTTTCTGGAGCAATCCATCAATCCAGACTCGGTCGAAGGCCTGCTCAACGTCTACACAGACTCCATAGCAGTAGTCTTTTGTCGTCGTAAGGCTTAAGAATATGGGTCATCACTCTGTGAGCCTGATCAACAGCGCCATGCCCTCCTCAGAACCCAAATTGGGGATCAGGAAAGATGGCCATCAGGAAGGATCCATAAGCCTTGCAAGTCGGGCGGCAATCAGATTTTCCCAGCCCTTCGACAAGGAAGGCAGATATGACTCAGGGTCATATTCCTGCTTGCCCGACTTATGGATTATATGAATCCTCGCTAACTTCCACTGGACAGGGAAGTGTTCGCGTGGTCAGTTCCGGCGGGACGCTTACTTCCCTGACCCTGGTTTGCATTCAACTTAGCTGAGCCCTGGGATTTCTGG